CGAGCTTCCACCGTTCGGATTTCGGCATGGTCCTCGTCGCCCTGGCGCAGGCTACAAATCCTGGATCAGATTCCGTGCTCGTCGCTGCCATTTGGCTTCCCAGGTTCCCTGGACTTCCCTGGACGGCTCCGTGGCCACTTGGAGCCGTCTTGGGCGGGCTTAGTGTCTCTTGGAGGCATGTTGGAGGCTATCTCGAGCAATCCTGAGCTCATTCGTGAGCTACCTCGGGGGCCTTCTTCGTCTTCCGTGGGCCATTTTGGAACCATCTTGGGCCATCTTGGACGCCCCCCTGCGCGGCGAGCGCGTGGGGGAAATGAGAAGGAGAAGGCCCTCTCAGAAGGCGGCTGGCTTCTCAGAAACCCTCGCGCCTTCTGAGAAGTTTTCTATGTGTTCGGGGAAAGCTTAGACCACTTCTCCGAAGGGCTGGGGACTTCCGAGCCTTCTGAGAAGGCCCGCACCCACTCGCTCCCCCCCCCGGGAAAGCCGTCGATTTTCGTTGCCGTCCTCGTGCTCCTGCTCCTGCTCCTGCTCCTGCTCCTGCTCCTGCTCCTGCTGCCGCCGTCGTTGTCGAGGCGCAGCTCCCAGCGGGAGCCCTCCGCGCCGGGGCTGTGCCGGGGATGGCCCTCGCAGCGGAGCAGTCGGCCGTCGCCGCGCCATGCGCGGCCGCGGCGGCTGCGTGGAGGAGGCGCCGGCGGGGGGCGGGGCGACCCCCCCCCCGGATGTTCGATTGCATTTTTTTATCAAGCCCGGCGTCTTTTTGTCGATTTCGGCCGGAGCTGGCCGAGGGTCTGAGGTGGCCCAGCACTGGTTCCAGCGAGCCGACACGGGGGGCGGGGTTCGAGGTTCTGGGTTCGGGAAGGCTTTTTGGTTTTCTTCGGTCTCCAGGTGCCGTTTTCGGGCCCTGGGATTATCTCAAACGGATCCAGGTGAAGAGCTGCACTAGATGGGCCCTGGGAGGGGTCCGCGGATTGATTTGAGCGGATTGGCTTGAACCCCCCTCCCCCCTTGACCGATTGTCTCGTGGCCCAACCAGCTCAGACCCCACCCTACTCTCCGACGACAGGCCTTACGGCCAGTTCCGCCGACCGTGAAGGACACGACGACGACGACGACGACGACGACGACGACGACGACGACGACGACGACGACGACGACGACGACGACGACGACGACGACGACGACGACGACGACCACGACGACGACGACGACGACGGCGGCGGCGACGGCGACGGCGACGGCGACGGTGACGGCGACGGAGAGGGCGGCGACGGCGACGGCGACGGCGACGGCGACGGCGACGGCAACGGCGACGGCGACGGCGAGGACGACGACGGCGCTGACGGCGCGGCAGCGGCGGCTGCGTGGGGGAGGCGCTGGCGGGGGGCAGCGCCTTCCCCCTCCCAGCTCTCCTTTTTTTTTTTTTTTGTTTTCTGGGTATTTTACAACATTTTTCAATGATTTATTTATCTAAAGAAATACATATATATATATATATATATAGTTTTGTTTGTTCTTCGTTGTTTGTTTTTTGTTTGTTTGTCAAATCGGGCTTTTTTTCGAGTTCGGCTTCTCGGGGCCGCGCTTGGGCCCCAAGGCCATGAAGATTTGATCCGGGACGAGAAAACCTGGTCCCAGGGAAAGGGTCGGGAGCTCCGGGCAGCGGGTTGGCGAAAACCATGTTGGGGGATGTCAGGGCCCCCTTTTCTTCCACGTGTTGCGGAAGAGTCGCGACGTCAGGTGTTTTTCTCGTCTTGGGCTGGGGGAAGGCGCCCGGGCTGCGCGGGCGTTCCTTGGGGAATCTGGCCCAGGCGACTTCGTGGGGGCCGCGCAGTGAAACAGTCACGGCGTTGGCGTTGTGGGCCCCCCATCGGCACCACTCGACAAGACTCGTCAACCATAAGTCGACGGTTTTTGTTTTCGGTGCTTGCGTGGTGGGCGCTGCTCCGATGCTGGCAGGAGGTGTTCGGCCCAGACGCGCCGGTGTCCGAAATCCGGCAGTACCCTCACAGCATAAGATTGCGCGTTTTCTGACAAGTGCCCGAATTATCGAGCGCTTCGATTCCGAGCGGCGTTTCAATCTATTCTCGACGAGGCTTGTGGTATACTTCTACTACGCCCGCGCCGGCCCCGCAAGGGCGACGCGCGCGCTCTCCCCCAGAGCTTGTGCTATAAGATCCGTTGCGGGCGCTTTCTCACCATGCCGCTCGTGCACGAGTCCACGATCATATTTGTGTAGTATATGTTCGCGTCGGACGTGCGCCTCAAGCATCAGCCCAATCGTACTACAGCCGCTTCCTATCCAGATTAGCAGGCCTATGCTGCAGCTGCAAGTAGCGAGGAGGGTCCCCGTCGTCGCCGAAGAGCCCTGGCCAACGCAGAGTCATTGTTCAGACTTGCCGGTCTGGGCTTCAACATCCATCGTACGTGAGCCCCCAGAAGGCATTCAGGAGTGTTGGCTTGCTCGGCTGATCTCCGCGTCGCACGTGCACGCCGCAGTCAGCGTGCGCAGGAGGAAGACGAGGGGCTCGTGTCGTTTGGTCAGGCGCAGACGCTATCTTTGCGAGCAAGGAAGGCACAGCGGCGACAGGGTGCAGTTGAACCAGAGCTGGCGGCAACGGAAAACATAGATATGATGGCCAATTTGGGGGGGCAATGATTTGAGCGTTGACGGCGGGCCCTCATCGGTACCCCGAAGGCTGTGCGACGATGCGTTGCGGAGCTCGGGACTTCGCGGGGCCTCTGCGCAGTGGCGCGGGATCTATGAAACCATGATTTTTGTGCATGAATGTACTGGTTGCCCACGTCAGGATTTAGAGCTCTCTGTTTTAGGTATCTTATCTTTTTCAACTTCGTGAGGTCGTTCATGCTTCCGGTTTTTGTCAAACACAATCGTGGGCTTCGCAATTACGTGCGGGGGTCTGCGCAGTTGATTTTTTTGTGCAGTGAGGTTCGCCCTGCTGGCGTCTGTTCGGCGGTTATTTCTTCTGGTGGATCTCTTCCCCTGGGCTACGCTACACGATGAAGAATCCCAGCTCTGTTCTTACAAGCCTTGTTGTGAAGAGTCTGTCCCCGTCTCTTCGGTCCGTTTTTCGTAGAGTCGTTGTGGCGCCCGTCGACGGACGACGACGACGATGGCGACGGACGACGATTACGACGACGATGGCGACGACGACGAGGACGGTGGGGGCGGCGGCGGCGGAACAATTATTTGCCGAACGGTGTTGGGTGTCGGCAACCTCAAGGAGATGCCCACTATTGAGGAGGGCGTCTTTAAATATCTTCAGAGGTTCACTGGAGACCATCCCGGGGCCCCGCGATCCCGCGAAACGGTCCCTTTGCTAGGATTCTACGGGCGCGCGGGTGGCTGGGGGTTGGGCGAAGAGAACTGTGCACATTCACCGATCCTGGCCAGGCCCATCCTTGGCCCAAGATCGGTGCATATGCGTTCCTGGCCAAATCACCGATCCTGGGCTCAGGATGGACCTGGCCCAAATCAGTTCCTTTTCCTCTAAGGGGGGGGCGCTGCTTGTGTTGGGGCATCTCCGAGAAGTGGATTCTCACTGCGCGCGCGGGCGCAGAGCCCCGCTCGAGCCCCGCAGTCCTCGTCGAAGTTTACAGCTGCATCGGGACACGGCGGCTGGCCAGCGCTGTACAATCAAATGCAGGCCCATGCTGCAGGTGATGAGAAGGTTGCTGAGGCTCTCTGGTCTGGGCTTCAACATCCACCGTGCGTGAGTATTCGGAAATCTTTCAGGGGTGCTGGTTCGTCCGGCTGGTCTCTGCGGTGCACGCGCGCGCGCCGCTTCCAGCGTGCGCAGGAGGGAGACAAGGGCCCGCTTCGCTTCCTCAGGCGCAGACGCCATCTTTGCGAGCAAGGAAGGCGCACTGGCGGTGGGGTGCATTTGAGCCAGAGCTCGCGGCAGCGGAAAAACAAAAACAATGGCCAATGTCGGGGTTGACGATGATGAGAGAGCCGTCAGCGGGCCCTCGTCGGCGCTCCGAAAGCTCCGCGACGCCAGATTGCGGAGCTCGGGACTGTGCGGGACCTGGTCGCTATGGCGCGGGATTCTGAAAACCATGATTTTTGATTTAGGCTTTTTTTATGGATCCCGCGATCTCGCGCACCGGTCCCCATGCTAGGATTCTAGGGGGCGCGGGGGGGGGGGGCGCGGACTGCGCTGGGGGATCTCCCAGAGATGGATCCTCAGTGCGCGCGCGGGCGCAGTGCCCTATTCGGGCCCCACGGCCTCCGTCGAACTTCAGAGCTGGATCGGCGAAGGGCTGCAGTATGTTGTCGCCGTCCTGCCCCAGGCCTCCGCCGCCCTGGCGGGTCTCGTTGCACGTTGCACATATTATGCCCAGCGAATGCAAGCTGCTGATTGCCTCTCTCGTGGCCAGGGGGTCGGGACCCTGGCGCCTGCCTTCGCCTTCGCAAGCACTGGATAGGAAAAAAGCCACAAGCAACACGGGAAGAGGAGTGCGAAGCCCCAGGCCTCCGCTGCCCTGGCGGGTCTCGCTGCCCTCCCGGGCCTGGGCCTGGCGCCCCCGTGCCTGGCCGCCCCCGCTGCGCTCGCCGGCCGCGGCGGCGGCCGCGGCGGCCTGCGGCGGCGCTGCGGCGGTGCGCCGTGCTGCGGGCGGGCGCCGCGCGGGAGGCTGCCGGGGGCTGGCGCGCGGTGCGCGAAGGGGGCAGTCCGCAGGGACCACCGCGGAGTCGTTCGATTCGGCGATGGCCGCGCACGCGGAGGCTGGGCAGTGGCGAGAGGCCCTGGCGCTCATGGGGCAGATGCCAGGAGTGGGCCTCGCCGTGGACGTCGACACCTAGGGCTGGCTGCGCGCGGGCATGGCCCTTGGCCAGGGTGGCCTCTGAGGCGCAGTTCTCGGGGGGGCGCGGGGGAGGGGTCGACTCCAAGCGCGCAGGCCGCTACGCCCGCGCCTCACGCAACCATCGGTAGGCCGCGCACCAAAAGGTCACTCTTGCCCAGGGCCGCTGCTGCTTGCAGCCCGCATAACACGGCGCTCCGCGCCTTTGTGGTGGCCGACCAGCTGGAGTGGATCCTGTCGCTGTTCCAGGACATGCCTCGGGTCGGCCTGGTGCCGGACGTGACCACTTATGTTCACGTCATCGCCGCCTGCGAGAGCGCGGGGCAGTGGCAGCTGGCGCTTCGGTACTTCGCGGACATGCGCGGGGCCGGTCTGCAGCTTGACGAGCGCGCCTGCAGCGCCGTCCTCCGTGCGTGCGCGCAGGGAGACCAGTGGCAGTGGGCCGTGCACGCCGTCACGGACCTGCGGGCGCAGGGCGTCACCCCCGCCCGCGACACTTTCGAAGCCGCGATCGCGATCTGCAGGAGGTGCGGGCAGGCGGACTGGGCGGAGTCGCTCTCGGCGCAGGCGCGGGAGGCGCCCCACCAACCGCCCAGGCCCAGCGGCCCCGCGCGGGGCCCACGGACGGCGATGAAGCAGGCGCGTCCCGAGGGGGGCAGGACCTCACAAGAGGCTTCTCGACGCGCTCGGGCTCTGGGGGACCCCCCTGGGGGCCCCGGGGCAATCAAGAGTGCTCTGGCGCCTGCTGTGGCGCTCGCGTCCAGCGCGGCCGTTTCCAAGGAGAGGACGGACATGGTTACCCGGGTGGCAAAATTGAGTTACTCACTGAAGTGGCGACGCTTTTGCGATTCCTACGGGTCCCGCAAGTACGATCCCGAATTCCATGCGGATAGCTTCCTGCGAGCATTCCTGCAGAACCGAAGGCCTGGAAAAGAGACCAAACCGCCGATCTTCGAATTGAAAGAGACGGAGCGCGAGAGCTCCCCGTGGTTATACAAGTTAAAGGGCCTGTTGCTCTCCAACCGTGCGGTGGAGAAGTTCAGATGGTACGCTTACTGCACGGTCTTCGAGCAGCCCCGAGAGGAAACGTATTTTTCTGAGCTTAATCCGGATACGCGCGACGAATCGTTCATACAAGGCTTCTTCGAGATGCTCGAAGCTTGGCCGACGGATCTGGCCGATCAGGGCGTGGAGGTTGACATCGGGGAGTACGAGCTCCTTGCCATGAGGGTGCTCGAGATGCAAGAGTATGGGACCGCCAAGGAGATCGGAAACTGGAGAATATTCATTTCCAGTGGCGGGCTGTTTTTCAATCCCAGGACTTTTTGAGGGTCGGGGACGACGTCGGGGTGGTGTGGTGTATACTTTTTGTTTATCGTTTTTTTTCCCAAGGGAAGCAACGAAAACCGTATACACCAGGATCCCGTAATTATGCACCAGGATCCGCTTTCCTGTTTGCAGGTTTCAGTGCAGGTGCGGAAAACGCGTCGGTGTGTAGAGTTCGGTTCCTTAGGACAGGCTCAGGTGGCAACGGTTTTGCACGGTCGTCTCCGGCGGCAAGAGGCATCCCATCATCCACCACGACCTCCAGTCTTTGCAGCAGTTCTTCGCGGAGGGCGCGGCCGCGGACGTGGAAGAGGAGGCCGAGGAGCCTGGCGACCAGAACAGCGCGAAGGAGGAGCCGTCAGAGCCGCGTAGCATCGAGGATATTTGCTGGGAGCTGGCGCAGTACAAGGACCCGTCGCTGCTGTTCCAGGAGGCCGTGGACAATGGCACCTTCTGCCCGTGGTTGACGCCGCAGGTCCTGGACCTTCACAACCTGAGCGTGGACGTGGCCAAGGATCGAGGAAGAACAAAAGGCATATACACAAACTTTGGAAGTCCGCGCGGGTTTCTCGGGTCGGCGCCTAATTAGTGCCCCTGGTGGCGCCTGCGGCGCCGCCCTGGCGCTCGGCGCGTGTCAGGTCTAGCGGGGCCCGGCACTAGTCCAACAACTCCGCGTGGGCCTCCGAAATATTGTTTTTATGCCAAGTCATCTTCTTCTACAGGTGGCGTGCTGGACCAGGCTGAACGAGCTCCTGCTCCTCCCAGAGCACGACGGGCAGCTCAGCGATGGCTTGTTGGTTATCGTCGGCAAGGGGCTGCACAGCGGCGAGGAGGGGCGGAAGCTGGCCCCCTCGGTTCACCAGTTCCTGACGGAGAGCTTCCTGTTCAGCCTGCCGCCGCTGGATCTCGAGGCGGGCCACATCAAGCTCCCAGCGGCTGAAATCCGCCGCGTGCACAAGTCTCATCCGTATTTCGTGTCCGAGCGCGAGAAGGTGGCCCTCGCGGCCTGAGCGGCGCGCCCGGCTCCACTGCGCGGGCCTGGTAGGACGTCTCCGGCGTGGCCAGAGGCCTTGCGGAGAGCCTGTTCCAGCCAGGCCCGCCCTACCAGGAAGATGGACACGCGTGTCGCGGCCGGCCTGGGCTTACGTCGGGCATATCCCTTCCCAGGGGGAAAACTCAGGAATGGTAAATCCGTAGTCTGGTGACGATGTTTCGGGCTTTTTGGACTTGCTTGGGACGTTCTTTGGGGAGGACATGCCCGCTCTAACCTATCAGGAGGACATGCCCGATCTAACCCTAGGAGGAGGAGGAGGAGGAGGAGGAGGAGGAGGAGGAGGAGGAGGAGGAGGAGGAGGAGGAGGAGGAGGAGGAGGAGGAGGAGGAGGAGGAGGAGGAGGAGGAGGAGGACATGCCCGCCCTATACGAGGACATGGACTTCCATGATCCGCCTGTAGGAGGGCATGCCCGACCCGACCCTACCGGGAAGATGGACGCACGTGTCGCGGCCGGCCCGGGCGAGGCCCGCCGCGTCCGTGGCGTGGCCTCGCTCTCTCCATCCGTCTCCTCCCTCGTGCGGCCGTGCGGCCGTGTTGGCCGAGCCCCCCCGCGCGCATCCGGCGCGTTGCCCCCAGACGCTCCGCGCCAGAACTCGGCGGCCAGCCCAGCCCAGGGGGGAAGCGAGAGGGGGCAAAAAAGAAAGAACGAATAAGACAAGAGACGAGACCAAAACGAAGAAGCACGAGAAGCCAAACAAGAAGCAAGAGGGGAGAAGCGAGTCGGCGGGCCTCCTCAGAAGGCTCGGAAGCCCACCGGACTTCCGAGGAGTTTTCTGAGCCTTCCCCGCAGGCGCAGGCAAAACTTCCCGGAGGGCCGGCGGGCCTTTGAGAAGCCCCGCCGCCTTCGGAGAGGGCCGTCTCCTTCTCGCTTCCCCTCCTCGGCTCTCCGCCGACCCAGACCCCCGACGTCATGATCTTTTCATGACGTCGACCCACCGGGACCGGTTCTTCATCCCGAGTCGTTTCGTTGACGGTCCCGAGGCGGAGGAGGAGGAGGAGGAGGAGGAGGATTAGGAGGAGGAGGAGGAGGAGGAGGGGGAGGAGGAGGAGGAGGAGGAGGAGGAGGAGGAGGGGGAGGAGGACAAGCTAGGTGCGCGCGCGTCATATCTGACGTCCTACCCCTCCCTCCCATCCCTTACCATGGCGCTGATTTTCTCTATCCGCGGACTAGTGGGTGGTGGTGCGCGTGCGTGCGTGCGTGCGTGGGTGCGTGGTTGTGGTGGTGGTGGTGGTGGTGGTGGTGTGCTGGTGGTGCTGGTGGTGGTGGTGGTGGTGTGCTGCTGGTGGTGCTGGTGGTGCTGGTGGTGTGGTGGTGTGGTGTGTGGTGTGTGTGTGTGCGTGTGTGCGCGTGTGCTGTGGCATGGCACGGGAAATGACGCCAGCGCTGCAGCGGGAGCACGAGTCGAAACGGGCGGAAGCGCGGAAATGAGGCCAGCGCTGCAGCGGGAGCACAAGTCGGAACGAGCGGAAGCACGGAAATGAGGCCAGCGCTGCAGCGGGAGCACGATTCGGAACGAGCGGGGCCCGAAAATGAGGCCGGCGCCTCGGCGAGAGCAGCATTTTGAAAAAAAACATAAGCAAAACCCGTTTCCCAGGAATCCTGTGGTTAAAAAACACTGCGCGGGGGGGTCGGATATCTTCGGGACGCCATCAGGGGAAGTGGGAGAGTATTTTCATATTGTGTAATTGTGGAGGAGGAGGGGGAGGAGGAGGAGGAGGAGAGTGAGGAGGAGGAGGAGGAGGAGGAGGAGGAGGAGGAGGAGGAGGAGGAGGAGGAGGAGGACAAATCCAGCACTCAGTACCGAGGCTTGCCGTTCTCCGCCTTTGGCGGCCCTTGCCCTCCCCTGCTTCCTCCGTCCCTCCGCCGTCTGACCTTGTCCCCTGTGCTCCCCCCGTATCTCTGGCCTGCCCCCCCCCTCCCTCCTGTTGCTCCCTCCGCGCCTGTCGTGCGTACGCCTTCCTCCCTTATCGTCCCTCCCTCCCTCCCAGTGGACGTGAGCCCATTTTGCTCGCGGGGCCTGGTGCAGATCCTTCCTTCCCTTTGTCCCTCGTCTGTCCCCCCCCTCCCGTTCGTTGTGGCGCACTTCCGCTGCTGTCGTGACAACGCCCATCCAAAGATGCTGCTTCGACGGGGTCACCCCAGGCCCCCACGTGTTGATGTTGGTTTCGAGGCCAACGTAGGACTGCAATCATCGGCGTAATGCACGCCCATGCGGTCGGGAACTTTTGGAAAGCGTGTCGCGCCGCCGGTTCCGGCCTACCGCGCCTTGCCGCGACGCGCTGGCCACTTCGCGGCCCCCCAGCGTCAACGTCCCGAGCCTTTCCGAGCCTCCCGCCCCGCGGCGCGGAGCGACGCGTTATCCGCTCGCACGGCGAAGCGTGTCGCCGGGGCCGCCGCCGCGACGCGCTGTACAAAAGTTCCTGCCGCAATTCAGCCCCGCAGACTTTTACCACCCCGCTCTCAACGTTGGAATCGGCGGCGCGGGAGTTCTCCACGTACGGGCGTGGGCTTCTCTGCTTGGTGGGTGTGTCTCGCGCCAACGGCGGTCGCGCCGCGTCGCCTCTGGCGGCGACGGCCACCGCGCGGGCGCTCGAGTCTGAACGCCGCTGGCGGCCCGGAGTGGGCCGAGGTCGAGCGGCCTGCGCCATCGGAGAGCCGCGATCGCTCAGTCGGCACCGCCCAAGCATGCTTTGTACTACTACGTGTGCGCCGGCCACGCGAGGGCGTCCCCGACGCTCGGAAATCTTCCAGTATAAGCTCCGTGGCGGGCGGTTTCTGGCCACACCGCTCGGGAAACGATGTGCTACAGGTTTTGGTGCCGTGTGTTAGTGTCGGACGTGCGTCTCCAACAGAGGCACACGGTTTCAGTGCGTCCTCGTGCGTCCCACTCGTTGGGCTGACCGATCCGGCGGCGCCAGGAGTCGGCGCGCAGAGGTCGTCACGACGCGAGCCCGCCGCAGCCCTTTCGGCTCAGGGCGAGGGCCCCAGGAGGGCGGGCGCGCGGCTCGCGCCCTCAGGGGGCCGCCTCCTCCGCTGCCGCGCGGAGCTGGATCGGCGGCCCTCCGCGAGGCTCGCGTCCTCCACGAGGCTCGCAGGGACGCACACGGAGGGTGCGGGGGGCCCCGCCTCGCTGTCCTCTTGTCGGCGGCGTCGCCCCCGCTGTCCTCCCCCCCCCCTCCGCCCCGACTCTGGAGGAGGGCACAGCGGGGCCTGCGGCGCGTGGCAGGGCTTGGGGTGGGGCCCGACCTGAAAACGGCGTCTTGGCGACCTCGCGAACCGTTGTCGTCCCGCTTTCGTCCAGCAGCGAGGGCGGAACGAGAACAGGACCAAGGACGAGGAAGCCAGAACGAGGACGGAAACCACCGCTCAGGTCGAGCTTCGGCTGGGGGCTCTGCACAGGCAGCCCCCAGGCGTGGTTCCAGGCTGGCCTCGGCCTCGGCTGGCCCTCCAGAACAGCCCACGGGGGTGCCGCCTTCCCGCCCGGGCGCTGCCTCCTGCGGCGCCCCCCGTTGCGCACCGCGCCCTTCAGGTCGGGGCGTTGGCTCCAGGGAGGAAAAAGCCACTCGGACCCGAGGACCGGCGTGAACGGCCCTGGGCGTTTACTGAGCAGCCAGGCCCTGTTCGATTCCTTCCTTGGGTGCGTTTACCTGAACGGCTTCGCGTGCCGGGGTGATTATTATGAGGGTGGATTTTCTGCCCTCTACTGACAGCACCCCGAGGGCAGCGGGACGACCTCCCAGGGCTGTCTGTGAGCAACCCCGGGCCTCGCCAGCAGGGCTTGTGACAATGGCCATCCGCTTGGTGCACCTCTTCGAGGCGGGCCTCCTCATGATGAACGCCTTCGCCATCCTGAACGAGAAGCGGTTTCTGCGGCGGTTCGGCCTGGACCAGGCGGTGGCAGGGGACAACCTGGGCCCGAAGAATCAGGTCGCGACGTTCCTGCACGCGATGCGAACCTTCATGAGGTATCCCCTGGTCGCGATGAACCTCCTGATAGTCTCGTACGAGCTTTTGCTGGGCTAGCGCCCGCGTGAGGCCGCGGCGCAACGCGCGGGTGCGATGCTGCAGGCCCCGAGACCGCGCGCGTAGCTGGGCCCAGCTCCACGGTCCTTCTCCTCCTGCTGCTGCCCCTGCCCGCGGTCGGGACCTTTTGCTTAGCGTGTCGCAGCGGCGGCCTCGGCGGCACGCCATGCCTTGCAAGTGGACAGCATGTCGCTCCGCTCCGCGGGGCGGGAGGCTGGGAAAGGCTCGGGACCTTGACGCTGGGGGACTGGGAAGTGGATAGAGCCCGTCGCGCCGAGGCGCGGTGGGCCGGAACCCGCGGAGCGACACGCCATCCAAAAAAGTTATCGATTGCAGTTCGTTCATCTGTGGCCGTCGCGTGTCGTGGCGCCAACATCGCAAAGCGGATTTCGTTCGGAAGCCAATTGGAATGGCCTGGACTGTCCTGGAGAATTTCGTTCCGGATTTCGAAGTGAATTTCGTGCGGATTTTTCGTGGCCAGGAATGAAGACTACAAGAAATCCACATGAAATTCACTTCGTTTTTCGCTCGCCGCTTCGGGGCTCTGCATTGACAGAAGTTCACGCGAAAATCCGCTGCAGCACGTCTGCAAGGTCGGTGCAATGAGTCGTGTCGTCTGTCGTCCTGGCCGTTGCCGCGCCGCTTCGTCGCCTCCGTCGTCGGTGGCCGCCCATCTTCCTCCCGCTTGGACCTCGTACCCCTGCTCGGGCAGGCTCGAGGCCGGCCCAGAGTCCCAGAGTTGAGTCGGGCATGTCCCTTCACATGGGGAGTATCCTCGGAAACTGGAACATATACATTACCAGTGGCGGGCTGTTTGTCAATCCCAGGAATGTCTGATGGTCGGGGACGACGCCGGGGTAGTGTGGTGTATATTTTTTTCCCCGATGTTCCAGGGAAACAACGAAAAATGTATGCACCAGGGTCCTGTATA